GGCTATTATCATTTTTTTTAAATGTATTCTTTTCTCAATAAAATGAAATTCCATTTTTAAGCTATATTAAGTTCCCATATATGTCACATCTATTTCTGGAATGTCTAGTCCATTTTCCTTATGTATTTGCTCTTTCCCATGATAATATCATACTCTATATAATAGCATTGTTTTAACATAATAAAGGTGAAAAACCTCTCTCAACACATTCCTTTTTCAAAAATATCTTAGGAATTCTTGCACATTCGTTTTTCTACCTAAACTTCAAGATGATTTTGTCCAGTTACAGGGAACACCATGGTAATTCTGATTGGAACGGTATTAAATTCATATACTCATTTGCAGGATGGCATTCCATTCAACTATATTAATCGATTAGTATATAGAAATATATAAACTACTTAGGCCCCTCTCCCCATTATCTTCTTCTGCCATGCAGTTCCCTTCTACTGAATTTTACAGTTTAAGAGTTTTTGGCATGTTTTTGGTTTCAGCAAGATTTTGGTGTTCTCATTATGCCTCCTTAAGCATATATAGTACATTTTGGCCTACAGTCCTCTTCTTTCATATAAAACATGTTTTGGTTGTTTGGCTTAGTCTTCCTCCAATTTCTTGCCAGCCTCATCAGCCTCACTTCTATTGTTCAGTGGCTCCAACTTTCCAAATTCTTTCCAGCCCCTGGGCCTTTGCACATTGTCCATGTGACGACTCCACCTTTTGATCTGTTTAAATGATCTTTCTACTAAAGATCTTCTCTGACCCTTCTCAAACTTAGATTAGGTTCTCCTTCATAGTGTCCTGTACTTTTCCACGGCTGCACGTACATCACTTATATCTAGTAGAATCTAGCATAGGGCAGTCCCTCCTTATGCGAGGTTTCACTTTCTGCAGTTTCAGTTACCCAAGGTCAACGGCATTGTGAAAATATTAAATGGAAATCTACAAAAGTAAACAATTCATATGTTTTAGATTACACTCCATTCAGAATAGCGTGGTGAAATCTCTTGCAGTCCAGCTCTATCCCACAAATCAGCGCTTTGTTCAGCGTCTCTATCTCAC